TGGGTTTGGAAATTGTGTGAAGAAGAGGGCGACGACCAAGAGGGCAATTTTAAATTTTTTAGGTTTAGGCTCGGTTTTTAGTTTTTAAAATTTTTAATATCCACATGGACCCAGATTGACACGTGGCGCCCAGTCATTGTCCACGTGGGCGCTACGTCATCAGTTAACGGAAGACTTAACAGCCAGACTAACGGATGTATGAGATTGTCCCAAAATTAACACTTTAGGTATGACTCTGGGATGAAAAAAACTTCATGTACTAAATGTTGAAAACCACAAAACATGATGGTAGTAAACAGAGTTTAACCTTATTTTGTAATATTCTCATTTAATGAAAATCAATATACATTACCTGTTATTTAGTGGTATAAAGTCTTTACTTCGTTTGGAATTTTAAAATTTGGTTTACTAGCTATCACATTAGAATCATAGATTTCATTGAAACACACAACTCACAAGATCATTCAGTGATTATGTCTCCAAACGTTTGCAACGAATCCAAAATATAAGCACTTTCGTATATATTTTTCTTAGTTATATTGGATCTATTTATGGGACTTGATTGCTAACCAAACAAAATTACAAGACTAATATTGTCGAAACTAAAATCACAATGGTTGAAGTAGAAAATGTGTCAAACTTGAACAATAAAATTGACATACCCCAACCTCGATATTCCCAAATATCAAGGTAAGCACATGCTGGCCGACATTTGAGGGTGACGAAGCCATTTTAAACACGCATATAACTAAAATATGTAATTAGAACAGATATACTAAAGCAGGAGCGTGTTCAAAGCATACAACTAACCAAGAATAATGTGAAAGAATTATTGTAGAAAGGTACAAACCGAGGAATGTGTCCTACACAAGGAAGTCTCAAAGATGCCTAAGCGGAAGTGCCCTGACGCTGGGATCGTGTGCCTCGATCCTAATTCCGGAGGGGGCGCAAAACAGAAAAGGTGAATGGACCAAAGTTTATAATAATACTAATAATATGAAAATCATTTTATTTATGAATATAGTAACCCCCTATTTTGAAAACACAAATAATACTACATAATAGGTTTTCTGAAAACCCTAGCATGCCATGCAAAACATTCGTAAAACATGTAAGTAAATCAGTACTCATAAATGGTAATATCGTCGCCCAAAGGCAAATCCGTAAAACGTCTCCAAATCATATCAGTGATGTACTCAACTAGGGGTATCATAGTCGTCCGAAGGCAGTATCTGTCCATCACCCAAAGGTGAAGCTGAATAACCTATCCATCACCCGAAGGTGAAGCTGTATAACCTGTCTATCACCCGAAGGTGAAGTTGTATAACATGTCCTTCATCCAAAGGTGAAGTTGTATAAAATAGCATACATCCACACCGACACTAGTCATGGCTAGTGAAGCTGTCCAACACTACTTTCGGCAATGAAGCTGGGGGTATATCATATATCATATCTCACTCCTCCATCATCTATGTCCTATGGTCATAGACATATGTACCCGTGGTGTGCGGATGTACTGTATGATAACCCACTATATAAGTACCAAAAACATATCTCAAAACTCATATTAAACCTGGAGCTCACTAGCTCAAAGTCTCATTTGATAAATCCAAGATAAATCGTATTCATGAAATCCATAAAATAATTCATGGTCGTAAAACCGTATTGTAAATCTTATTTGAAAATCATAGAAATCCATATATGCAAATCCAATAATTCGATGCCTTTAATAAAACGTAATTTCGATAAATCAAACTATTTCGTAAACCATAATTATAAAAGTCCATAAAGCATATTATAAATCATATTCAAATCATGAAATATGGAATGCATGCTAGGCTAATATTTTATAAAAATATATAAGTTATAAAGGGGTCCACTCACAGATATTTTATTGCCTGAGAGCCGCTCAAATGCTCGAACTAGGGAGATCCAGATCACGTCCACCGTAAATGCACGCATAGATACCATTTAGTAAAACTCTGCTAAGATAGTTGAATTTGGGGAAAACGGATAGAGAAATCAGATTCGGCACGTTGAAAAACCTAAGGAGGGACCTCGGGTTTCCCCCACGCACCACCGCACAAGCTGCCACAAGGCGGCGACCTGAAAGGCCACGCGCCAATTTCCGGCGAACGGAACCCACAAATTCCGACCAACTCCAAAAATCACCAAATTTTACAAGAATGAAGATGTCAATGAGAGGAACAACTTTCATACCTAAACCGAAGTCCAATTCGGCGGGGAAGTGGCTTGAAAACACCTCGAAATGATAGGGTGGCCGGAAATTGAGAACCTCGCCATTCCTTCGTCGAAGGTCTGATGATTGTGATTATGGTCGGGTTTTACTCCTGGAAGGGAGGGCTACCAACCCCAGATGGTGCACCACCGTGATCGATGCCAGAAAGATTGATCTCCGTTCTAGGGTTCGCAAGGAGCATCGAGTCTCTCGTGCTCAAATCTTCATATATGGTGACCAAAAGGTGGAATTAAAGGTGAAGGTTCGATTGGGTTTGAAATGAGGAACAAGGTGGTACCGGTCACGTCGTCAATGGTGGTCAGAGTAGGGAAATACGGCCGGGTCGGGTTGGCGGGTCGAAGGGGGTCTGGTTTTGGCCCGTTCCTCCCTTTCTATCCTTTCGCTCCTTGTTCTCTTTTCTGATTGGTCACTCTATCCTCTTTCCCTTCTCGATTGATCTGCACCACTTTCCCTTCTCTCATCTTTCTTCTCTCTCATCCGTCCATCTCTCTCATTTCTCTTCTTTCCTTTCCATCCCAGCCACACATGTGGCATCATCTTACTGCTCCAGCAAAATTTGGAGCCTTCCAAATTTATGGTCAAATGACCATTTTGCCGTCAACTTCGTTCGTTAATAACTCTTTTGTTATAACTCCAAATTACGTCCCGCTTGCGCCCACGCGTCCGTAACGACGAGTACTATAAGGATATGCTAAGAAAACGGACCTTACATGAAACGATAAGGCAGTCAAACAAAATCAACACATTTCCTCGAAGGGCATTTTCATAATTTCATATTTTAAAATTATAAAACCGTAATTTTTAGGGATGGATCGTTACAAAAACTCGTAATTTCCGCATAGTATTATGAGGAAATACTTGCATGTATATAATATAATGAGGACAATTTTAGTAGGAGAGAAGTCAATTACATCCCCGTTAAGTAGTTTTAGACGGGGATTTGGCCTTTGCTAAAGAGATTTGGCATTTGCCTCCAAAGTCCAAACATAAACAGAATAGCTAATACAGTTTAGAATTTGTCATTACGCATTAAGCAACTTTTATGCATGTTATATGCCATTGCCGTGCAAAAGTCGTCAAACGTGCTACGTCCGCATTAGTAATAGGGGTGTGATATCCACATACATTTTTTTACTTCTCACATATTTTTCTAATTTTCGGCCGTCGGATCAGATGAATTGAAGAAGATCAATGGACAAAAATTAACAAAGGGTGTGTGAGAAGTAAAAAAGGGTGTATGGATAGCACACCCCTAGTAATATGTATGTGTGTGGATAGCACACCCCTAGTAATATGTGTGTGTGTGGAAATAGATACATGACACCACTTTTTTTTACACATATTTTTGTAAGGCTCATTTTATACTATATTTTAACGATGTGAACCATTTATCTTCCAGGTCTTCCTTAAAAGATCATGTCTAGTAAAAATCATCAAAATCTGAAACCATATGACTGTTCGGATTAAGGTTTTAGGGTTTTTTTTTTTTTTCTTTTTTTTTTGTGGAATTTTATTCGTCTATTTTCTTCACTACTAATATCGTAATAGTTTTGAGTTTGTGTACTTTTTTACAAAGATAATATATTCATGATGTTCTAAAGATCTATGATTCAGATTGTTAAAATACATAGAGGAGTAGGTTCCACAAAAACTTATAGAAAAAAGTAGCGCCACATATCCAGCCCTATATATATGTCCATTTACTCTCTCTCTTTTTTTTTTTTTTTTTTTTTTTTTTTTTAAATCAATTAAACATCAATTTTTTTAATAAAAACAAATATGAATGAGTAGACGCGTATTTCTCATTTTTCATGTAAGATTGTAAATTATCTAGTGGCTGCTCTTGTTCTCCACCACTTATTAATATTACGCTTGTTAATCATTAATGTATCATCGTAGATAACTCTCAACCATTCATGTAAGATGTTCCTCTTCTTTCTTCGGCCAAAACCCTAAACACCAAACTCTTGCGTTGCTTTCATAAAGGGACGCTGATATTTTTGCACTCCATAATATCAAGGCATAAAGATTACAGACTCAATAATAAACGATTTTTTTTTTCTTTTTTCAAAAAGGCAGACAACTGATAGTAAACCACGGTTATCCATTCATTTCGAGCATGGGGATGCTATGGGAAATTTCACCATACCTGTGGCCACAGTATGAACATCAAAACCAGGACCTCCCACATTTTCTAGCCACCGAAAATTAGAAGATGTTTTAAATTTGTTGGGTTTTCTACCCTTAGCTCAAATATTCTACGAGAACTGTGTATTGGCTTGAGATACGATCAGAATGACTGCCCCCTTGTTTGGCATTCCTCCTACCTCAGATCAAAACCGGAGTCTGCAAAACCCCGAGGGTAAAACAATGATCAAAAACAGAACAGAAACCACCAACAAATCAAACTGTCGATGCAATGCCTGCGGTATTCGAATTTCGAATCTACTTTGACATAACCTGATGCCAAACTGACCCATGGCAAGAGCTGACACCGCCGACCCTTGGATCACTACGGCTTCTCACCACCGCAGTTCAAGCCTAGGGCAAACTATCTTCTGTCTCACATGTGAAACATAACTTAAGCTGTTCAAATTTCATCATTTTCCGGCAACAATGCCGTAAGTGACAAAGATCAATTATCAACACCGTCATCTAGTAGTTCACTTCTCCTAACGATGCCATCCCAATACCAAAAATATGACATGCACACCATTCATCTGAACTTTTTGAACCAATATACGAGGAATATTATATATTTTCGTATAATAATTATCGTATACAACTCATGAACAATTACAATTGCAGATACGGCAGATCATGTGTAACTAAGTAACAGTCAATGTACAACAGTTTCAGATACCAACCCGGTTGTGCTGAAGTTAATACGGGTGACACAGACACACTTGAGAAGGCTTGTGCAGGTACTATTCTCCGACTTCTTTCCTTCTCTTTGGTTGGCAAACTTGGGCTGGTAAATTGTGTGTTAAAACAAAGAGCGTGCTCACACTAGTCAAAAAAGGAACCCAAAACACACAAGTTGCAAGTGGGAGCTGCTGCCAATAATAAGGATGAATTCACTGACAGGACAATGGCACAAGAAGCAGTAAGCTACTCCATATTTCACATCGAGGAGACAAAGTATAACAAGATATGGTTGTTAACCAGAGATGGTCTGCAATGGGGGAAGAGACTCTTGCTTGCCACTAATGAAGATTGACAGTTCCGTTGGTGCAACCACCAATTTTAACCACTTTTGTAGCTCTTCGCCTTCTACCTTCTCTTTTTCTGAACAAGAAACACTATCAGAATAGCACGATAACTGCATAGAGTTACATTTATAATATAAACAGCGCACATCCGCCCCCCTAAGCCAAGATTTGCCAATAATATGAGCATACTATTGTGTATGAGATTCCCTAAGCTATAAAACCTGGAAAATCTAACAGATACAACAATGAACTTGCATCTCTCATCGACAAGGCCTATGGTAACTGACGTATCTAAGTTGCAGTACGACAAATTTGCAAGTGATTATGTGAGATTCTACAGCTAGCTTCAAGCCAAGAGACTAAACTGAAACGAAACTTCATTTTATTCAATAGCCACTCTTTTTTTTTTTTTTTTCTTTTCTTGATCAAATCTAAATCTATATTTTCAAGTAACCATCTCTACCTACTTTTATTTGCAAGAAAAGCCCCGGGAAATTTGTGTCATGCTGGTTTCTACCAATTTGACGCTACCGCAAAAGTACTAGTGCATAGAACATAATAGCAAAAAGCTTCAAATTATATAAAACTACAGAACATAGGGAACAATATAATAATATCAAAGAAGCAAAATATCACCTTCCAGCTGAGCACCAAGACCCTCCAAAACAGTAGGATTAGCACGTACAACTGAAAGAGCTATACCCAAAGCAGATTGCAGCAAAGCTTTAACCTCTCCTTGAACAAGATCAACAAGATGCCCCTGTTGTTATCATTCTAGGATCAGTATTTACACAAATAAATTTATTTAAAAACAAAAACAAAATTAAAATAAAAATGCATAGGACCTGATCCCTTCCCCAAAGAGCACCACCACCAGACTCATCCATTCCACCAGCAGAAAGTGTTGCTATAGACACAGGGCCAATGTTCTGATTTAGACCATACTCAGCTACTGCTTTGTATGCCATGTCAGTTGCTCGTCGTATATCATCAAGTGCACCCGTTGAGACACGACCTGAATATACAAATTCTTCTGCTGCACGTCCTCCAAGAAGTGTAACCAAACGTCCACGCAACTCATCAATGAAGAGTAAATATCTATCTTCTGTTGTTGGAGGAATATAAGTGAAGCCCAACGCCCCTCCCGATCTTGGCAATATGCTCAATTTCTGATAACACAAAGACACAACAATTAGTATATCCATGTAAATTGAAAGTTAATAAATGAGCTACTGCATGAGCAGGACTTGCATTATTCACAATTTCTTGTATTACATTTCCAAGTTACTTTATTCTTATCTGTTCATTAGTAATATAAATAAGAACTGTTTTTCAGTAATCTCTAAAAAATTCACCTCAACACGTGGCTGTCCAGGAAGAAGACTTGCTACAGCAGTCCCCACTACTGCATGACCAGCTTCATGTCGTGCAACTACAGCCTTCTCACTTCCCTGCAACTTGGCAGTCTTCTTTTCTATACCCTATAACAAGTAATTCAGCTTAGTTTCCCTACTAATTAATAAAAAACCAACACATTTCTTTTAAAAATGTTGTCATTGAGCGCCTCGCACAGGGTGGTAAGAAATGTGTTACAAGATTGTACATCAAGAAGCATAATCTTAAAATAAAGAAATGAAATAAAAACCAGAACAAAGAAAAGGGGCTCACAGGTCATAAAAGCACATACAAGTACAGACATTACAGAGGATCAGGACAAAAGACCAAGTGGACTAAGGGTTGTACAAATATAAACAAATACCCTAAAAGACCAACAACATAGACCATGTCAAGAAATTCTAATATCGGGAATCAGCTGGGAACGTACAGAAGAGAGAAAATTGAAAGGGAATTGTTATTGGCACTCCAAATATCTTATTTTGCACTCCAAACTTTCTATAATTAGAAAGAAAAATACACTTGTGAGGAGTGTAGAATGACATTTTTAGAGCGTTAATAACAATTTCCAATTGAAAAATACTAAAATAGTGAAATATAATTTATAATTTATTACAGTGTACAATCATAATTCAGGGAAATGGTTTAACTAATACTTGAGTGTGGAACAAGGGGAGAGAGACTTACAGCTATTAATCTCTCCACAGCTTGAATAAAATCAATTTTTTCCACAACCAACTTGCTTTGTCTTCCAGCCAATAAAGCAGCTTCATTCACCAAATTTGCGAGATCTGCCCTGCAGAATATCAGATACGTCATTCCCAATGTACTGGTCACAAACATGACTTTTTCTTCAATTGTTTAATTATTTACAGTTCAGTGCAGATTTTAAATAGACCGAAGAATGAGCAAATAATAACATATACCCAGTAAAGCCAGTGGTCATAGAAGCAATGTCACCAAGGTAGACATCTTTTGCCAAAGGAAGTTCTTTTTTGGTAGCATGCACCTTTAGAATCTCTTCTCTTCCTCTCCTATCCGGTGTTTCCACCTAACGAGAAAAGACAGGCCTTAATGTGATATAACACTATGTACATTCGTATATAAATACATACATATAAGGAATAAATTGTTTCCATGTGAAACTTGTTTTCGTATCATTTAAAACTCAGAAAGAAACTAGAAAAGGACTACAAACCATAACTACACGATCAAATCTCCCTGGTCGACGAAGTGCTGGGTCTAAGACATCTGCGCGATTAGTTGCTCCAAGAACAATAACCGCAGAGTTGCTGTCAAATCCATCCATTTCCTGCATTTTTCATACACATGAATGTCAGTGACATGTAGCCAAAGTCACACAGATGCTCAAAACTAAGTTGCAGACAAAAGCTTACAGTGAGCAACTGATTCAAGGTTTGTTCTCGCTCATCATTGCTGACAATACGGAATTTTCCATCACGGCTTTTTGCCACAGCATCTATCTGTGCAAAAGAAGAAATATTAACTAATCCTCTAAAAACTAGATAGGTCAAGAATCAAGATAGTGACAGAACAGAATTACATTGTCCATATCCATACCTCATCAATAAATATTATGGACGGTGCCTCCTTTTTTGCCCGGGCAAATAGATCCCTTACACGAGAGGCACCCATGCCAACATACAACTCTACAAACTCACTAGCAGAGCAACTTATGAAGGGCACATCAGCTTCCCCAGCCACAGCCTTGGCAAGAAGAGTCTTACCTGTCCCAGGAAGACCCACCTGTAAGATAAACAAGCCATGTTTACTAGTTATTACACAAACAAAGAACAAAGCCCTCTTCCACAAATCCTCCAGAAATGTACTGAATTACAACCAGTGAATGTGACCATTCAAGTGTAAAACTATATGATTCTCCAGGTGCAACCTAATAGTCGACCAATTGCAAATCAAGTGTCAAAAGGATACTACAGAGAGTAATCTTAAGTGAGCAGTAGCACTCTATGTTACCCAATCTACACCCGGTGTCAATTCCCTATCGGTCCTGCCCCCATGCGACATGTGGCATGTGAGATATCCGGGAAAGGCATACCATAGTTGGCTCATCAAGTTAACCATAAATACTACACATTTGAATTGAGACCATTGACTTCCCCCTCCCTGGTTTTTGAGGTCTAATTCATCATTGATTAATTAGTCTTTTGGTAACTCACCAGGAGAACTCCACGTGGAGGACGAGCACCAAGTCGTATATACTTGTCTGGATTCCGAAGAAATTCCTGGCCAGTAAACATCAGCATAAATAAAAATGGAATAAAAATTCAGAAAACAGTAGGAAGCCTTTAGGATCCTCTAAAAGACTCTGATGATTCATTTGGTGATATCAAAGTATCTAAGGAGTATCCAACATACCACAATTTCTTCTAGCTCCGCTTTAGCCTCATCAACACCAGCGACATCAGCAAAGGTTATTGCTTCCCCTTGTTCAGATGCTTTAGCACCAGCAGAGCCCCCAGATTTCCTGTTCCTAATCTGACCGGCTGTTTGCTGTACATAAGAATGTATTCAATCAGAACCATGTAGCACATGTTAAAAAGAAGAAGAAAGAGACAAAGGGTTGAAAGAAAAAAGCACTGCTGGCTCGCACCTGAGTAAAGTTTACAGGGAACCTGTGGAAAAGCCCTGCAAGCACAGCAACATAAAACAAAGCTATCTGCAAGGACCAAAGCCGAGTCAACTGATTCAAACTTCTTTGCAAAAAAACATCTTTACCTTCTATAAAAATACACACCCACAAACAGAAAAGGAAACATCGTATGAAATAGAAATACATGTTAAAACATAAGGGGCTGCATGTTATCATACACTGAGGTTAACATAATACTCGTCTTCAGTCCTTCTACACACATAAATCTAATATAATTCGTATATATTAGTATATGTGATTAGCTTCCCCGATTACTTAGTCGACAAGAATTGATCTTTGATTGTTTTTGTCAAGATAATTGTTTACAGCAGCATAACTAAACAACATCAAACAACCAAAAACTCACCATTGCAGAGTTCAAGAATCCGCCTGACCGCTTATCCGGCGACCCAAACTCCACCTCATTCTCAAGCATCTTCTCATACGGCGTCTTGATATCAGTTGGCCTTGTCGTCGTGTAAACCACCCTCTTCGTCGGAGCCACACTTCTTACCAAGGCCTCCGATTCCTGAAACTTGCTCGCCCCACCACCACTCACTTCACTTTCTTGCTCACCCTGCTCAGACTTCAACTTAAACATAACATGAACCCCATCAACCTCAACCTTCTGCACCTGGTTACTATTAATCTTGCTCAGAAAATCACTGTACGGCACGCTAACGAACGTCGTGGGCGTCCTCGGCTCCGACCCGGGTAACGGAATTCCAGGCCGGAGCAACCGCATGACGAAAATTACAATACCCAATTGTAACAGCAAGATTCCAATTTCTTGTGCCTGAACTATCGGCTGCCACCGCCATTTCCCGCCTTTCGACCACCACCAATTCTCTTTCTTTCGACTCTCTCGCCGCCGATTAGAAGCCGGCGAGCTCGAACTTGGCGGGTTATTGTTCACAGCCTGGCCCTCCGTCGGCTTCGCCTCGCTCTTCTCCCCGGAATCCGTGTCCTGACCGCTCGCCGAAGCCCTAACCGTTCGAAACCCTCCGTGGCTCCTCCAGAGGCCGCCGAACCTCTCGGAAACTCTCACAGCTAGGCCGCCCTGTCCGTGCAACGTGACCGAAGGGAACACCGCCGAGTTCGAAACGCAACGCCTCGGTTCCTGGTTGAAACCCTTCGATTGGCTGCGGAGGAATCCCAATCCATGGCGGCAATGATAAGCATTAGAATTCAAATTCAGGCAAAACCTATTGTGGATTGTTGGACGTAAATACTCGACCGACGACATCCCAGAAAAACCCTAGAAATTCCAAATTCCCAAATTCGAAATTCAAAAGTTCATATATTTATATATACATGTTTTATATTTTCCCCAATCCGATAAAAAAGAGAAATTCTTGAGCTCTCCCAATGGCCCTCTTAGACAAAAGGTCGGAACTTTTGGAACACAGAAGAGAGAGAAACAGAGATGACAAAAGAAGGAGATTAAATGTGGGATGTGAACCGTCGGATGAAGTAGGAGTTGGACATCTTAACCGTCAACTTTCCTTTTTCGGTATCGTTATCCTCCGTTTTTTCCCTCTACCTCGCCCACAAGCTTCGCGCCTGGTAATTGGCTTTCTTTATTTAATTTTTTTTTTTGTTTAAAAAAAAAAAAGCCAAACGATAAATAATATATTTTACAAAATGATAAACTTACTAAGATTTTTCAGTGTCTTGATGGCTTGAAGTATGAAGATTTTCTTAGCGGTATTGATGTTTGTGTTAGGTGGTGTTTTTATCAGAAGGAATCTAAAACTTAGATATTCTTTTTTTTTCTTTTTAATTAACTAAATTTAGATGTTAAATTCTCACATGTGGAAAATAGCACTTAGCACAAGTGTTGGTAACACCTAAAAAGCATAATATATTATTACAGAAGTAAAGAAAAGTTTTTTTTTTTTTTAATCAAATATACATCCACTTGTGTAATGACGTATGACATATATGCTTATTTTTCAGCTATACTGAAAAATCTCTCCTCACTACGTGGATGGTTTTTATTTATTTTTTCTTTTGAAAATTCAACGAGAGTAGACGAATTTTGGAATTATAAAAGCTTCACTCTTTTCGCTTTCTATATATATATATATATAAAATACGCTAAAGAGATAACAAACATATATATAGTTGTGATTACCCGTGTTGAGACACTGGTATGATTGTTTTAACTTGTTATAATATGGGTGAAACAAAATGGTTATGAGTTTCTATAAGAGAATTGTTATTGGCACTTCAAAAATCTCATTCTACACTCCTCATATATGTATTTTTCTTTCCTAATATAGAAAATTTGAAATGTAGAATGAGATTTTTGGAGTGCTAATAACAATTCTCTTTTATAAATATAATATTAATAATTACTCACTTATGATTTAATTATACCATGTGATGGTATTCGTGCTACATTCGGATAAGGCTTAATACACATCGAGTTCTTATTGAGCTTGCTACTTCTCCCCTCGCGGTCAGACGGGCAACGCTGTGGCCCTTGTTGAGGCCGACAAAGACCCCAATCCTGCCCCCGGTGGGAGCCATTTTCTTGGCGCGGCTCGGAGAAAACCCTAGACCTTGGCTTGGCGGTGGAGAGTATGCACTTAGAGGTTAGTTTCACCAACACGTGTTCTAACATATGACCAGTACTTTGGGAAAAAAAAAAATATTCAGTTTGGCGGGAACACGCCCATTAAACAAAGTCATAGCACAATTAGTCAAATTTTGGAAATGATTATTATAACTTTAAAAATCTCATTTTACATTTTAAATTTTCTATATTAAGAAAAAAAAATACGGAGTGTAGAATAAAATTTTTGAAGTGCCAATAACACTTCTCTAAATTTTTTATTTAAAAGTATTATTACTTTTAGTATACCGAGTCTTTTTTTTTCTTTTTTTTCAAGCGATACATTTGTTAGATTAGATGCTAAATTAGAGAAGCAATGAAATCGAATCCACGATGTAAGGACAACACTCCTCACCATCACTTTAAAATGATGGGGAATAGGGGGAGAACTCATTTTATTTTTAGCATAAAAAGTATGCATTAAATAATATCGTATCAAAATTGAGTGAGCTATTTAAACCACATACATTAACATAAGCAATTAAAGCATGAGTTTACAAAAAAAAACTCCCTGCACTACAGGCCACCTAAACCTTATGGGTGGCTCCGCCATAATGCGCCATTGCCGCTGGGCTTCTGCAATGATTTCGTGTTTGTATCTATTAATAGTTATTGTGACTTGTATCTCTAGAACCCATCAACAAGATTTGTACGCAAAATACCGAACCCCAATTTTATGGGAAGATAAAAGACTCTACGAATGCAAGTTCCAATTTAGGGTTTGGGTTATGTGTCGGCTATACTGTTGACTACAAGCTCTCTGTAGCTGATCTTACTAGGAATTTTGAGACCGTTGAGTATATGGAGATGTTCTCATTGAGAGCAAACTCTTGGAAAGGTATTCATGTCCCTGACGACCATGAGACTGATGAATCTAGCCTTGTAGATCTCGTCAGTCTCTTCAAATTCATATACAAGTCCAAAACAGGCATGCCAAACCATAGTTGCCTCAATTCGGACATCACGAAAAAGTCAAAAAAATCACTTTCGAGATATGACAACAAGAAATAATCCTTTAATCCTTAAATTGTTATTCTCCAATCAATTTTCTTCGCTAAATGTCGCTTCCTCCATTTAATTTATTACATGTAAAATAGCCAAATTTTTTAGCATGAGGTGCGTGAACCCTTTTTTTGTCAAACGATATATTTGTTAAGCTAGATGTTAGATTAGCCACCGACAGAGAACTAATGATATCATGCAAAAGCTCAACTCCTTTTCACCACTGTAGTAAAGACCACTTGCAGGTGCATGAATCTTGGACTATTCTCTTTAAATTTGACATCGCTGACCTACATGTGCTGACCCATTGGAAATGGAATTTATACGGTGATAAACCAATCTTCATTACTGAAAACGTATCTGTGAAATTGATCAGGATTGAATGTGTTAAGGAAGAGAAGCCTGTTTGCAGTCGCTCCTATAGCCTGAATGAGGTGCCGTTAAGTATATATCTCTGACGCGGTTTGAATTCATCACCCCATATGTTAGTGTCTTTTTGTCAGGAGTTCAGTTTCATTTGTTTCTAACTACCTTGCTTTATGTAGATTTGGTTGTCCTTCTATTCCTGCAATTCTGTATGAAGACTTCCGTTATCCCAATCCTATTTCTTAATTCTATATCTACAACATCTTTGATCCGATCAAAATAGGATTTGATATTTTTTTTTATATTTATTTCAATGGCCAGTAATTTTTTATTTCACCTGGTGGTTTGCTACCCGTTTATTTGGGACGGGGCATATCTTACTAACCTGAGAGCTTGGAGTGTGCTTAATTTGACTTTGAGGTGACAATGAATCACTCATCCATCACATAATCAATCACTTTAATGTATTATTTAGTTATAAGTCGACGCTACTAGAAGTATTTCGGGGCTCATTTACTAATCTGTAATCAAAACGAGAGGAATTGAATTGATGAGGAGTTGGAATAGAGAGGAGTTGGAATTGGATTCCTGTTATAATTGTTTGCTAAAGTTATCTGGAATCGGAGTAAAAATAATATTTATTTTTTTTGTCGAGAAGAGTAAAAATAATATTAATTTCGTATAAGTTGTTTACTAATTTACTAGAATCGGAATACCATCCAATACAGTCACTAAAATGCCCTTATCGAAAATAATAAATTGTATTATTATTTAGGTACTAATTAATAAAAACATTTATTTATTAAAAGAGAGAAAATAAATAAATAAAAGAAATCCTAATCAATCTTATCCTTTTTCTCTTTCGTCAAAAAAAAAAAAAAACCTATCTTTCTGTTCATAGAAACCCACTCCTCATCGCCACCGCAACTCTCTCTCAATCCATTGCATTATGATTTCAAGTTCACGGCATCTAATGGCAAGTGGATTTGGGTTGGGTTGATGGCTTGGGGTGGTTGCGATGATCAGGGAAGGAGTGGCATTGGACAAGGGCGCTGGGCAACGGAGGATGGATATGCTCTGGTAATGCCAAGGGTAGTGTTGGAATTTTAAAAATAAAGTGAGGGTATAATTGGTTGAAGATTTGCATTCCGGATTCCCCATAACACCAGGAATTGGATTACCACCTACATCTAAGAAATCCAATTCCACCAATACAAGGAATTGAATTCCAAAATTTGTGTGGGCCCCACTGCCTTTTTGATTCCTCAATGTTTAGTAAACACCGGAGTACTTCGTAATCGAAATTCAATTCCATATTTTCATTCCGATTACGAATGCATAAACACGCCCTCAGTATATTTTGCTGCAAACAGATAACTTGGATTCCAGATGTTTAGAAAATCTGCTCTACATATCCAGACCTAGATAGCTCACCTAGCATAAGGTTGCTTGTAAACATTTGGTAGTTTAGGGACTTTGGAGCTTGGATCAAGAATGCTTTAAGACACAAGAAATTCAAAATGGGATCGCATTTTTGCAACTCATCTTTCTTGTCGCCATAGCTATGGAGGTGTCGTATGGTGGCTTTTACAGAATCACCTCGTAGAGTTCCAGTAGCAATAACCGAAAATATTGAATCTTATTTTCCACTTGGGTATATAGCTCTGAGAGTTGTAACTCAAGTTCATATTGGCAGTATCTTACAGATTTTCATTTGTGGGCAGTGAAGTCAAATCTTGATGGTGTTAAATTTGAAGTGTGTGTTCTTTCAGTTCTTTAGTGCATTTTTTATAAGACCCTTTTATTTTTGCCGTTCATTCTGTTATAAATCAAACAACTGAATTGCTAGCTGAGAGTAAAACTGATGTATAACAAATGGCCGAACAAAATAGACCTAAGGAATACAAAAGGGCGCAGCAGTAATTTACAGATTAGGCGTATGTGCTTCGTTTTGGGTCCATGATATCTTGTTGAAAAGAGCGCGGTGTCCCAGTTTAAACTCACTGTATGATGGATTTTAGCGTTGTTTGGGCTTCCAAAACTACATTTTAAATTATGTAATAAAAATCGGATCTTTCGATTTAAGTATGATTAATGTTGTTCTTATTCCCAAAACCCTTGAGCCTTTCCGAGGCTGTTTTTAAGTCTATTTAAGCCATTTGGCTCCCATTGTAATTAATGCATGAATTTAGAAATAATCAAGACAACCTTTCGGTTTTATCCCAATCTCTAGTGGATTCCACAAACTTTTGTTCTTCAAGATTTACGTTTGTAATCCTTCTATGCTTGTGCTGCATCAAAAAATGTTTGGCTGATTCGAAATAAAATGGAAGCCATATACAGAATTGTGTTATATGGGGTTTTCCTCTGCTTGTTTTCAAGGGCTGTTGATGTAAAAATTAAGGAAAGTGATTTATACACGCATCTTTTATCGCCTTACATATTCCTTTGTATTTCTGATCCTTGGATTAAATAAA